TAGAAAATAAGATCTTAGCTGGCCATGGTAGTGTGCACCTGTAATCCCAATGACTCAGGAAGCTGAGAAAGAAGGGAATGCAAGTTTGAGGCCAGCCTTATCAACTTATTGAGACCTTGCCTCAAAATACAATTTTAAAAAGGGTTGGGGATGTAGCTTAGTGATGGAGTGTTTGCCCATCCTATGTGAGGCCCTCAATTCAATTTCTGGGGGTTGGGGGTAGGGGATAAAAGAAAGAAAAGGAAGGAAAATAAAGAAGTGTTTGGTTCTAGATGTGCTCATCATACTGTGGTCTCATTGCTTACAGGCCCTTACAAGCCCTCTCAACTGTCAAAGTAGGAAATGCATGTTCTTATACTAACCCACGTGTATACATATATCTATGGATATTTCTATATGTATAGAGTACCAGCAATAACAACAAAGTCATTGTTCCCCAATGGACAAAACTCACTCTATGACAGAAAATATTTAAATCCAAGCCAAAGTAAGAAAAGAGCAATGTCTTAGTCTGTTTTCATCTGCTGTTAACAGAATACACAAGACTGGGTTAATTTATATATATATATATGAGATTTGTTATAATAGTGGCTACCCCTTTGTGTAGTTGTCCTTCTGGCATTCTAAATTCTCAAGAAAAGTCACATCTAAATGATTAAGATGTCAATTGCTAGCAATCTTTCTTCAGATTTACAGAACCCAGAACATCAGATAACATCAGAATGGGTAGCACCCCTCTTTATTCCTTTCTTTTTTTCTTTTTTGGTATTGGAGATTGAACCCAGGAGGGCTTAACCACTGAGCCATGTCCCCAGCCCCTTTTTAAATATTTTATTAGTGACAGAGTTTCACTGAATTGCTAAGTGTCTCGCTAAGTTGCTGAGGCTAGCTTTGAACATGTGATCCTCCTGCCTCAGCCTCCTAAGCTGCTGGGATTATAGGTGTGCTCCACTATGCCTGGCAAACTCCACCCACTTTTAAATGAATTTTTTTTCTTTAGTTGTAGATGGACACAATGACTTTATTTTTATTTATTTATTTTTATGTGGTGCTGAGGATGGAGTCTCACATATGCTAGGCTCTACCACTCACTGAGCCACAACCCCAGCCCCAGCAACCCCTCCTTATTCTTTATTTCTGTGCATCTACTAACACAAGACATATACATTGCTGTGAGGCCTATCTCTCAGAAAAGTAGTGTTCATCTATAGAATTATATGAACTAGTCCCAGGAGGTTGAGGTCAATTGCAATGCTCTGGCCAGAAAGGAAAGAAAGAAAAAGAAAAAGACATACACCCTGGATGACAAAGACCCTGCACACCATATTGTCTTTCTGTCCACTGACCCCTGTACCTTTTTAAAAAATCCCTTTGGCCAATGGAAAGTACTAACAGAAAATCAAAGAGAAGGACAGAGATGAATACTTGTGTTAGTTGTTTTCTCTTTACCATAACAAAATGCCTGAGATAAAAGCCCTTTCACATGCCTGAGTTCCCCAAATGATCTTTTTTGGCGGGGGGACACTAGCCCCCATCTTCTCAGGATGCCAGTGCATGAATAAATACTATTTCCTTTCTAGGATTTATCGTTTCTTGAGTACTGGGCTTTCAAGTGGTGAGCAGATGGACTAGGGTCTGGTAACATTATTTTTACAGTTCTGGAGGCAAAGATGTCCTAGATCATTGTGCTAGAATCTGTGTCACAACATGGTAGAGGGCATCGTAAGAAGAGAAAGCATGCATGTGAGAGCGAGAGAGGAAGGGTGGAGGCTGGACATATGCCTTTCTCAGGGACTCACTACTGCAGTAACTAACCCACTCCCTCCACAACAGCACTAATCCATTCATTAGGACAGTACTCCATGCCCCAATGACCTCTTTATAACTCCACCTCTTAGTGTATTACTATTAAACTTCAACATGAATTTTGGAGGGTCCATCAAACCATAGCAACAGGCTTTGGGGTATTTTGGTCCATTGTACATACAGGATTTATTAGTAGTAGTTCTTTTTCAATCCTTCCATTCACTCATGTTTCTACCTATTACTCAGAAGTGGTTTATTAGGTTTTATTCATTTTATGGCAGGTGATGTGGTGGTGGAAGGGATTTGCTGAAGGTGATCAGAACTCAGCTGCAACTGTAAATCTCCATGGTTGATTTGCTGCACCCGTGTTTTTGGTTACTAAAGGTGGAGCTTGGTTGAAACTGTTCTGCCTTAGGAATTTGACCTGGGGCTAATAGCAGTATAGCAGGTCAGTCACCAGATGGGCCTCTCCTTGTCCCTGTTCAGGGAAGTAGGAGGATCCCTGTGCTGGGGGAAAGTCCCATCCCATCTGGAGATCATATCTGAGGACACAAACTCAGTGAGGTCAGGGAGAGGACATCACGAAGGTAAAGTGAATGTCAAGCTGCCCCCACTACTCTCTGCCCATGCTGCCCCTCTGCCTGACGACTATTGGGCAGGATGGATGAGGCAAAGGCCCTGCCCTTAAAGAGTTCCCATTGTAATACATGAGACAGACATTCAAAATAAACAGCCAGAATACAATGTAATGTGCGTCATATAAGAACAAAGGTTCTTAACATATGGGCCTGAGTGCATGGATAGATTTTAGGGTATTCCCTAAAATTACTTATAAAAGTCATATATGTTGTATATTCTCTGTTGATCTATAACAATGCCTTTCTTTGCTCTGTACCCCAAGAAGCTGACCTCTTTGGACTTTGTCAGATGAGCTTATGGATTTTTCAATTGGCTTTGGCCAATGGAGAGCACTAACAGAAAATCAAAGAGAAGAACAGAGATAAATATTTGTGTTGGTCATTTTCTCTGTTACTGTAACAAAATGCCTGAGATAATTAATTTAAGAAGAGGAAAGATTATTTTGTCTCACAACTTCAGAGGTTTCCTTCCATTTTTTTGTTGGCCTCATTTCTTTTTGGCTTGTGGCAAGGTGGGGAGCACATGGCAGAGCAAGTTGCTCACCTCATGGTGTCTGGAAAGCAAAGAGAGAAGACAACACAACCCCAGTGATCGAGGACTTTCTACTTGGAGCCACCTGGTAAAGGGTCCCATAATCTTCCAAAAATGCAAAGCTGAGCAGTGAGCCTTTAACATATGGGCCTTTGGACAACACTCCAGATCCAAACTAGAGCACTGTTGCTCTGGCAGGGACTGTGTCCCTCCACGGAAGGCCACATTTCTACTGGCTGCCCTTTCTCATAGTCACAGCTGTAGCTCTTCCTGAGTTCCCCTTGAGGTAGGATGGGGAAAAAAAATAGGTAAAAAGGAGACATAAAGGAAGGAAAATAAAATAAAATTTTAGAGTTCTACACACTTTTCTAGTACTTTCACTCTCTAAACAGTCTTTTTCAGGCTGGTTACTCCTAAATTCCTGGGAAATCTGTAAATGTATCAAAACACTGTTAACTAACCCCACCTAAATAAATAGAGATATGACATTTTAAGACACCTACAACTTAGGGGACTTTCTAGCACTATCTATTGATCAGAAAATGAAGACCATATCAGCCTAAGGATCTACAGGTTGACCAGACCACCATGACCCATCTTGAGATCACCAGACTGATATCATCCCTACATACCCTTCCATACCTACAGCTCACCAGGTTTCCTTTAAAAGAAAGGCCAGGAACTCCCAAACCATATCTCTCACTCATGGGATAGCCCACATTCTCTCTTAAATGTGTATTCCTTGCTTTATCCCCAAAGGTGTCTGTCTCTCTTTTGAGACTGCCAATTCTCATTTAAATGTGTATCTATCTACTTTCCTAAATTAATCACTGTCTATGCCTCTGATTGGTGCATACTGAAATTCTTTCCATCACAAAAACCACAGACCCCACTGGTCTTTCTCTCTGGGAACTCCTCAGAACCTTCTTTATGATATCCTGGCACTTCAGACTTAGGAGTGGTTACTGCTTCCTGTGTCTTGCTAGCTCCAGAGCCCTTCACCAGCCCTGTAGTACCCCTAAAACCTGTCCATATCTTTACAAACGAAGCCAACATCAAACTACTTTTAGTCACTTTTGAGTGAGCAGGACCTGAAAATATGTGAATCAGATTCTGGAGAGGGCCCATTACTCAAAAGAGGTAGAGGAGCCCCTCAAGCAGAGATACACACAAGGTACTATGGATCTGAGGAAGGTGTCATATATAACCCTGATGGCTTTCTCAAAATGGAAACCCAGTGATGTTATTCCCCTGCTTTAGTTCTTCCAAGGCTTCCCACTATTCTCCGAAAAAAGATGAAACTCTTTAACAAGGCTCACAGTGTCTTACCCCATCTGTCTGTCTTTAACCTCAGGCCAAATATCCTTCCCTTGCTCTCTAGACTCACCTTGACCTTGGGTTCTGCACTTGTGCAGGTTCCCAACAGCCTTGTTCCTTTCAACTGGAGACTCCCCATCTTCTCATTTTCCAGACCTTGGCTCAAGTGACTCTCCCCAAAAGACTTCTCTGACACCAGTCCATGTCGAGTTCCTCTGTCACATGCCCAATAGGGACCCTGAATCCCTCTATCAGAGCACTTACCTTGTAACATTTTTATGTCAATATTTTATTAATGTCTCACTAAACTGTAAGTTCAGTGTCCATATGAAGAGTGGAAACCTGTCTATTTCTGCTCATCACTGTGTCCCTAGCATTCAGCATGGAGCAGGATACAACAAAGATGCTCATAAGTATGTGAAAAGAAATGAATAACTAAAGGTGAAACTTGAGTCAGACCTTGAAGGTGTTTGCCAAGACATTTAGGTCAGGAGTCTGAGAGGTCACCTAAGGGTTTAGGGCCTCACTAAGTTGCCGAGGCTGACTTTGAACTCATGGTCCTCCTGCCTCAGCTTCCCAAGCTGATGGGATTACAGGCATGTGCCAGCACGCCTGGGTCTTGCAAGAACTTTATAGGCAACAGACAAAAATTCCTCCTCCCTCATTCCTTTCTAAACCAAAGGATCAAAATAACTCAGAAACATTACCTTTATGTCAACAGTGAGTATCAACTCAAACTTGTTGTAAAACTCCTTGGGGTTGAGCAACCGGTACTCCTTGGCAGTGCCCAGGAATGCTTCAATGTCATTCAAGGCAATGTCGACCCCCTCTCGAGACTGGCACTTGTCTACAGCTTGGGAAGCCAAGAGGTAGATTCCTGCTTCACACCACTGACTGACCTTTTGGAAAGAAAAACAATGCTCTGTGCAGTTAACCTGACCTCAACTCAGAGCCACCACCACCCCAGGGGCAGAAGTTCTGAGCTCCTGAAGGGTCCACAAATATTCTGGGACAATAGGAAATTTTCATGGGCTGACATAAAACTTAGGCGTCAAACCTCTCTGTTCATAAAACTATGAGGTGGACAAGCCCAAGCTGATTCCACAGGGTCCACTTCTCAGAGAAGTCATTCAATCAATAAAATGAATCGTATAAACATTCTTCCTGTTTCCACTGACAACTGTTGCTATATCTCTTGGAGATGAAAGGTCAGTATTTGTAAGTCACAAGTCAGCCATAAGAGAAAAGCAATCAATGGCTTTTCAGACTCACCTGCCAGCAAGTCACCGTCTTGCATCCAAATAAGTTATAAGAACCTGGGGTGATTAATAAAGCATTAGACTTGGCCCACAGATAGCTTCCTGGGGAGGGAATGTCCTTTAACAAAAGCACCACTTTCCTCTTTGTATTCCCAAATGATCCACAATTCCATTTATTGGTATTTGTCTTTACTACAGAAGCATCCCAAAATGCAAATCTTTGTAACCCATTAACAGTAATACTCAAATTTTTTGGATGCAGGATGAAATCAGATGAGGGATGAATTCTAATATTTCAACTTTGGGAGAGAACAGAGGGTACTGGGATGTTGTTCTACCACTGAGCTACATCCCCAGTCCTTTCTATCATTTAAAAAAATTTTTTTTGAGACAGGGTCTCCCTAAATTGTCCAGGCTGGTCTTAAACTCACAATCCTCCAGCCTCAGCCTCCAAATTGCTGGGATTACAGGCCTGCACCGTCACACCTAGCTAACAATTCAATTTTTTATTTGTTCTTTCGAACTCCACTGAGATACCTGGATAGAAAGACAGGGGGCCTGAATATGTGAAAAAAAAAAAAAAAGCTTCTAGGGCAAAACATCTGTTTTTACATTTATCATATGAACTGAAGAGCAAGGTAAATTGCTACAACAAGAAAAATGATCAAAAAGGAATACTCCAAGCATGATGGTGCACACCTGTAATCCCAGTGGCTCAGGAGGCTGAGGTAAGAGGATCGCAAGTTCAAAGCCAGCCTCAGCAATTTAGCAAGGCCCTATGCAACTTAGTGAGATCCTGTCTCTAAATAAAATAATAAAAAAGGATTAGTGATGTGGTTCAGTGGCTAAGGGCCCCTAGGTTCAAAACAAGCAAGCAAACAAAAAACCACTCCAAATGGTTATTTCTAAGTGGGAAAATCATAGGCAACTTAAATGTGTATCTTTATTATTTTTCTAAATTATTTACACTGACTTCTGGAGCCTGACAATGACAAAAAAAAAAGACAAATAAAAGACATTTTAAAATGAATAATTCCCAATGTGTGAGGATGGGAGGGGGGGTTTGTGCATCATGATGAACATTTCCCTTCCTCCATCCCCCATTTTTGGATTTTCAAAATAACATGACATTGTGAAACTGTGAAAACTTTTTCTTTATACATCATGCCTAGATCTGCAGAAAATGTTAAACTGGAATCTGCAAAGTCACAATGGAGGTTGGAAAAGAGCAGCTGATCCTGCAGCGGGCTCAGCACACAGGACAGGCTGCGCACCAGCCCCTTCTGAGCCACTTGTTTCTGGAACAACTGTATTTCATTGACATTAAAATCCCTTTGGCAATGGGATGATGTAAACAGGCTGAGTGGATGCCCCGAGCCATGGGACAGAAGCAGCTGCTAGAATGCAGTGTGCTGACTCATAGCCACTGGCCACAGGCGGCCAGGGAACAGCTGACAGGGAAGGCTCCAGAAGTCAGTGTTAGTGCTGACTAGGAACTTACCCTAGAGGTCGTCTCTGAAGGACACCAGTGTCCGCACATCCTCGCCTATGAGGACCTGCACACACAGCCTTGCTGGCTCGCTTAAGAAGCCAGGGTTTGGAATCTGGCAGTCCTGGCTTCAAATTTGGCTTCCCCTTATTTATGACATGGGTGATCTTAGCAGTCATTCATCCCAGGGCTCTTCAGAGTTGTCCCTGGTACCATGTGAACCATTAGCACCAAAATCACTTGGCACTTGACTAAATGACTAATCCCTGGGCTTTATTCCTCACCTGCTGAATCTGAGCCTTTGAGGTAACCCATCAGGGACTCTGCAATTATAACCAGCTCATTAGGTGATTCTTTTTTTTATTTTTTTTTAAAGATAGAGTGAGAGAGGGAGGGAGAGAGAGAGAGAATTTTTAATATTTATTTTCTAGTTTTTGGTGGACACAACATCTTTGTCTGTGGTGCTGAGGATCGAACCCGGGCCGCACGCATGCCAGGCGAGCGCGCTACCGCTTGAGCCACATCCCCAGCCCCTCATTAGGTGATTCTTGGGTACCAAGTTTTGAGATCCATTGATTCATTGTGCTGTTACTTTTTGCCTTTGGACAAAGAAGCCATTAATATGTTTCTCACTGGCTGTCTTAGGGATTAAATATATGACATAATTATGCTCTATAGGAACAAAGTAGGTGCTCAGTAAATGGTAAGGGGGTATAATGGTCCTTATTACTGAAGCTTCTCCAAAAGCATTCACAATCCTTGGCCTCTGCATGAGGAGGACACTTTGAAAATACGGTGCTTGATTCTTTGTATAACTGCAAGGAAATCAAGAAATGTCCCCAGAAGGCCATGACAAAACATACTCTTCAAAATCTGCTTCCATGGACTTTAGTTAATTTTAATGGTGTGGAGAGATGGCTAGGACACTTTATATATCCTATACCTCTATGACCTAGAGTCTGCAGTTTTTAATGGCTCTTGAGCACTTTTTCACATAAAATTCTGGATACTCTCAGTGATCATGTGAGGCGGGGAGGACAAGTATGATTAAAACCACTTTATAGTTGGGCATCGTGGTGCATGCCTGCAAACCCAGCTGCTTGGGAGGCTGAGACAGGAGGATCACGAGTTCAAAGCCAGCCTCAGCAAAAGTGAGGCACTAAGCAACTCAGTGAGACCCTGTCTCTAAATTAAATACAAACTAGGGCTGGGGATGTGGCTCAGTGGTTAAGTGCCCTTGAGTTCAATCCCTGGTAACTGCTTGACAGAAAATCCTGCAGATACTTTCACAGCTTTGTTTTGCTCACCTTGTCCAGCTGTCTATGCAACTCCAAGGACTTTCCCAAAGTGTCATGTTTTTTCTTGTTTTCATTGATGAAGTCATCACAGAGGTGCCTGAGCTCCACACACTGGGGCCTAATGGAGTCCACTGAGTAATGGTGGTCTTGGATGAGCTGGTCTCCAGCCAGTGCAAGCAGCTGGGCCTTCTCCAGGGACTCCTGCAAAACAATACCCACAGCTGAGCATGAGAGGCTTGGTGCCAGAGCCAGAGCATCGTGAGGCTGGTAAGTGCCTGACACTGTGTGCTCTGAACTTGGAGGAGGCTATGCAGGTGCAGCTGATTCAGGGCTTTCTCAGGAGAAAGTTGTCACTCATTCAAACATTTGTAGAGTTCTGGGTGGCACACTGAGGCTACAGTGTTAACAAGACAGGAATTTTCAGCTTAATGGAGAATTGAGATAGTACCTAAATGCTTATAATTAAATGAATATTACTATGACAAACTCTAGGGCAGAAAAGCATTGCATATTATTGCACATATACTAAGAGACTTTTAACTAAAAGTGAAAGGAAGATAGATGCTTGGCCCTGAGGATAGTGGTAGTGAACTGAAACTGAAACTAGTGTGGGCACCTCTATGGAAGTCATGGCACTTACAAACATGCCTGTCTAAACCCCTTCCTGAGGTTTCTGTCTGCCCTTACCCGTCTGCTCAGCAATTGCATTTCCTCCTTATGTGTGTGTGTGTGTGTGTGTTCCTATCAGTCAGTCTTATCCCTGACAAGAATGACTCACTGGGGGCTGTAGCTCAGTGGTAGAGTATGTGCCTAGCATGCATGTGGTCGGGGTTTCATGCCCAGCACTACAAAAAAAAAAAAAAAGAAAAATCCATATCAGTATTCCTAAATGGTTTGTGCAAACAATATGGTTTATGCTGAATACTTGTTTTCTTTCTGGGAGTCTGGAACTTCAGTACCTGCCAGGCTATGTATGTGACCAGTTCCCAGTAAAAACTCTGGGCAATGAGCCAATGAGCCTCCACTGAGCATCTCTGATAGACATTTCATGTGTTGTCACAACTCATTGATGGGGGAATGAAGTGTGTCCTGTATAACAATGGGGAAAAGCCTCAGAAGTTTGCCCCTGGTCTTCTCTGGACTTCACGCCATGTACTTTTTCCTCTTCCTGATTTGGCTGAGTATCTTTTTACTCTAATAGGTTGTAATTCTGAATATAACTATATGGTGAGTCCTATTAGTCCTCCTTACAATCTTTGTATCATGCAATTTTTGGAACCCTTGACATACAAGCTAGGACCTGAGTAAGGGACAAGCCACGCAGTCTTTGGTCTTGAGACAGGGATGTATTTGGCAGGTTAGAGAAGCAGGAAGGAGATGGGTGTGGTTGGAGCAGAGAGAACAGGTAGAAAAGGAGTGGAAGAGGTGATCAGAGAAGGAAGAGAGGGTAGGACTGGGGAGGGCCTTGCTGCCATTGTAAACACTTTGGCTTTTACTCATTATGACATGGGGAGCCTCTGAAGAGGGAGATGTCACTCATATTTTATAAATGATTACTCTAGCTGTACTCTCAAGATGGCAGATCAAAAGGGATAGAAGGGAGACCAGTCAGGGGGCTACTGAAGAAATTCAGGCAAGAGATGGGGCTTAACAAGGTAGGGAACCAATCTAGCTCCTGCTTCATGGCCTTCTTCTGGAATGTTCTTCCCTGGGTCATTTAGGTCTAAGCTCTGAGTTACCTGCTCATATCACCCAACCATCACTTGGCCCTCTCTCTAACTTCATTTATCTGAAAGCTATCTTTTTTGTTTTCTGTAATGATTATTCCCTTCCTTGCTCACTACCACCAAAATGTAAGTAGTGTGAGAACACTTAGTAGGCATCCAATAAATATCTGATCAACAAAATTAATGCATGAGCCAGCCGATGCAGGGGTCTACTTGGAGGGATTGTGAGAATCGGCATTGACCTTTGAGTCCACAGACGACTGCCACATTTACAAAGGTCTTCAGGAGCAGAGCCCCAAAGCACTCTTGCTGACCACGTTGAGCATCAGGGCTAACCACATTGGCCCTCATTTTGTTTTTTTATGGTAATACAAAGAATCATTTTAACTCCAGGTGAGGTCACTTGCCCCTCTTAACTTGCACTAGTTTATGATTTTGACAGTTTCAAAGCCTCTGTCCTCCCACCCTTACATATTCTCCAAGCCTTGCAGTGCCCACATACTTCTGAACACTTTTTCTGATCCTGCCTCCACTACCTCCTTGTTACTACTGTCTGTTCAGGTCTTTATGCTTTCTCACAGGGACAGCTGGTCACCTAGATTTCCTTCATTTTGGTTGATTGGATTGAGGGATGCCCAGAAAACTGGCAAAACAGGCTTTTGTGTGTCTTTGTGGGTGTTTCCAGAGAAGACTGGTGTGTGGTTCAGTGAACTAAGTGGGGAAAACCTGCTCTATACATGGGTGGCATTATCCAATAGGCTAGGAAAAAGTGGATGGCATGAAAAAGTGGAAGAAGGAGGAAACTTGCACACCCAGGCACAATCGACCCTTCTTGAGCAGGTGTGTTTTTGTTGCTGCTATCTCCCATGGACATCAGACTCAGATGTCAGAGGCCTTAGGGGACTCTGAGGTTTTGAGCCTTGGACCAGGACTGCATCACTGGCTTCTCTCTCTTGTTCTGAGGCTTCCAACTTCTTGAACTGAGTAGCTATATTAACAACTAGCATGCAGACAGTTATTATATGACTATTCAGTCTCTGATCATGTAAGCCAATTGTTATGATTTGGATCTTTAATGTTCCCTGAAAAGCTCATGTTCTGAGAGCATGGTCCTCCAAACAGCAAGATTCAGAGGTGGGACTTTCAGGCAATGATTAAATCATGAGGGCTGAAACCTCATCAGCAGATTAATCCCCTTGATGGATTAATTATTTGAATGGACTGGGTGGTAACTGTAGTCAGGTAGGGCATAGCTGGAGGAAGTAGGTCACTGGGGGCATGGCCTTGAACTATATCTGTCCCTGGCTCCTTTCTCTGTCTCTGCTTCTCAATTGCCATGAACTGGGTAGTCTTCTTCTGCCACCCCTTTCTACCATGTTATGCTTCTCAGGCCAGAACAATGAAATTGGTCAACCTCTGGAACTCTGAGACCAAAGTAAACTTTCTCTCCTCTAAGTTGCCTTGGCAGCCATTTTGATCACAATGACAAAAAGCAGACTAACACACCAATCTGATAAAATCTCTTATAATTACATATATTCTATTGGTTATGTTGCTCTGGAGAATACTAATACATTTTTCTTTAAATCATTCAGACTGGCAGAGCAGCAATACCAACACAATGCCTTAGCATGTCTATGTCATTCCCAAGCTTCAAGTCTTTACAGGTTCCTCAAGATCTTCAGGAGCAAGTTCGAACTCTAGAGAATGCACACGCTTTTCATGATCTAGCTAATAGCTTGGTGTGCCTCTTACCAACTCTGCTCTACATCCCTCAGCTTTGTTCTCTGCTGTAGCTGTAATTATGACCCATTTGCCCTTCTCCCAATATTCAGGTAGCTCCAGGCTTCTGTGGTTTCTCCATCTGTTCTCTGGGCCTCAAAAACCCCATCCTTTCCTCCTCACACTCTTCCTGACTCCTTACTGCTCCTATATCTCTTTGGAGATAGCTCTATCTATATCACCTTTCCAGGAAATTTCTCTGATTCCTCTATTTTATGTCCTTTCTCTGTGTTTCCCCAAAACCCTATGCTTCTCTTGACCAGAGCTTATCTTTCACTGTATTGAGATCACTTAACTATTGACTGCACTGTGCCAGCTCTTATGCAACTTAAAATAGGACATGGGACATAAAAGGTGCTTAAATGACTGTTGGGCAAAACAAAAAGGAGTGATGATATGGGAATAAAGTGACACAAATCAAGCTGTGACTAGTTTAAAGAACTCAGAGACAAATATTCAGTTTTCTTGTTTTGAGCAAAGGCCCAGATGCAATGGTCTCCAGCCCTGGGAGGAGATTAGAATGCTAATTCCTTGGCAGTGAGTTTTGACCTTTTTGTTCACAGCTCAGAATTTAGAACAGTGCTTGGCCTAGATCAATAAATATTTGCAGGATGAATCAAGAGTGAATGAGAGACCTTTATTAGGACTGTTTAGTCCCTGCAGTACTCGCTGCTTAGTCCCTACAGACTGAACCTAGGGAATGCTCTGTATCATAGAATCTTCCTACTACTCTGTGATAATAACAACAGCTATTGTTTACTGAGCACATATGAATGTTTTACAATGATTATTTGACTCTTCCCAACAAAACTTTCAGTATAGGTACTGTTTTACAAAAGAGAAGTGGAAAAACTGAAGTTGACCCAGGTAGGAAAGAGAAGGGCCAGGCTTCCAATTCAGGCAGCCTGGCCAGAATCTGGCTCTGACCAACAGAGAAAAATGGCCACACTTGTTCTGCCTAGGCTTAGAGACCTCATCTGGTTGCTCAAACTTGTCGGACTTTGGTTAAATATAGAAATATGAAAACTTGGCAGAGAAGTCTCTGTTGACATTTTTTTTTAAAGTTTTCTGGGTTCAGGAAAATTCAAACAAGATACTTCCTAAGGACCTTAGAGCACTCACAGCCTGACCTTCACTTGGCATGCAGTGTCTTACCCTTCAGTCCTGTTCTTAAGATACCCGAGGTGAGGGATGGGGATATGGCTCAGTTGGTGGAGTGCTTGCATCGCATGCACAAACTCCTGGGTTCAATCCTCAGAACCACAACCACCACCAACACCACAAAAAACAACAACAACAAAAAACCATGATGTGGTAGACAAGAGATGTGAATAACAGGTCCAATTGGATCTTTAGGGAAAGTCCATAGAGATAACTAAGAATCTACCCTGATTTAGCCTCTGGATGGCTAGAAGATCACTATTATAGAAATGAATGGATGATAAAAATAACCTCGGAGTACTGACCACCTATTACATTCCAGGCACTCAGTAGATTCTTAACCATACATCTAACTCATTTAGTCTTCACAGATTCTGCAAGGTACAAATTATTACTTGTTTTATAAACAAGGATACTGTGTTCAGAAAGGCTAAGTAGTTTGGCTAGGGTCACAGCTGGTAGTTGTTAGAGCCTAGATTTGAATCCAGCTTTGATGGACTCTCCCACCCATGTTCCTGTCACCTTCTGGTT